GTACAGCGAGCCGCAAGGTTGGCGGAACAACATACAGATAAGTCTTTGTCTTTGAGACGGGATTCTTGGAGACTCGATACAGCACACCATCCCTCACAGTTAACTTGTCCCAAGCCCTTAGAAATCTCTTCGTATCAACCGGTTCACTTGCCCGCTCCCTCCTCGAGGGTCTCCGTCCCCTTTCCACATAGGAGATCACTCTGCACAGCACATCATCACGCCGCTGGTGTCCCACTAGGTCATCAGCGAGAAGGGTTCAGAGTCAGACTGGTTTGGCGTAAGCACAGTCTGAGAGCATTGGGGCAGAAGGAGAGCATGTGGCCACACCCTGGACTCATGTTCACTATGGGCCTGGAAGACAGCTCCCACCTCAGAAGATGTCAGCATTCCTGTCTGTGCAACAGCCGTGCACTGCGAAACAACAGGCTGGTCATTGCTTGAGGCCTTATCAGCTGAGTGAACAGTCCATCTGAAGGCCTCCTGAACCCCACCAGTGGCGACTGCCTCTGCTTCTGCCAGAAGTTCCTTATATGGAACTCTTATCAAACGGTGTGAGGCCCTGGGGTGCACGAAGGGCTCCCTGCTCAGCGCGTCAGCAACCACATTTTTAGGACCAGGAATGTACTTTATGTCAAACTGGAAAGGCGCTAGCTTTGCGATCCACCTCTGCTCACATGCATCCAGTCTTGGCTTAGAAAGTATGTAAGTGAGAGGGTTATTATCCGTCCATACGGTAAACTGATGACCCCTCAACCAGTGATGGAACTTGTCGCACACCGCCCACTTCAATGCAAAGAACTCCAGCCTATGCGCTGGGTACTTGGACTGTGCATGATTGAGTGTCTACTGCAAGGACTCTTGATGTAGAAGCTCCAGAAGACGCGACAACACGGCACCAAGGCCACTGCTGGAGGCATCAACAGAGAGCAAAAAGGGCTCCTCAAAATTAGGATGGGCCAGGAGCACTCGATCCAACAAGGCCTGCTTCAGCTCATTGAAAGCTGCCCTGCATTCATCCGTCCAGTCCTCCTCACACAGCTTTGTACGCACCAGCCGGTGCTTTCGCCGTGAACCACGAGGGCCTTTATCCCCAGATGTCAGCCGAAACAGAGGTTTTGCGATGGATGAGCAGTTCTCAATAAATTGTTGGTAGAACATTACCATCCCCAAAAATGAGCGGACCTTCTGTTGGGATGGGACACTCGAACCCTCTTCCATAAGGTCTGCCTCTGCAAGGGATGTAATGGATGCTATTTTGTCAGGGTCTGACTGTATCCCATCAGCATTTACAATGTGCCCCAGGAATTTCACAGACTGTCTCAGAAAATGGCACTTCTTTGGAGCCAACTTAAGGTTGTGAACCTGGAGTCTCTGGAACACCATATGCAAGCGCTCCAGTGCCAATTCTTCTGTCGGGGCAAAAACCAGAACATCGTCAAGATAACACAGCACACTGAGGAAGTTCTGATCCCCAAAAATGCCTAGCATCATCCTCATGAAGGTGGCCGGACTGTTGCACAGTCCTTGTGGCATACGATTATATTCGTACAACCCAAATGGAGACGTAAATGCCGTGTACTTACGGTCCTCCTCATGCACCTCCACATTATAATAACCCGAAGTCAAGTCCATTGTGGAGAACAATCCGTTCCCTCCCAAAGCAGCCAGTGCGTCAGCCGGATGTGGGAGTGGGTGAGCATCTTTGACAGTTCTAGCATTAAGCCAGCGAAAGTCGTTACAGATTCTCAACTCACCGGACTTCTTCCAAACTAAGACCAGGGGTGATGCAAACTCACTGCAAGACTTCCGAATTATTTCCCGTTCCTCCATGTCATTCAGAGCCTGTCTTAGTTTTTCATAATGAGTCGGTGGCACACGTCGGCATGGCAACCGGAATGGCTTGTCGTCCACAACTCGAATTCGATGTAGGCAGCCGTTAGCCTTGCCACAATCCAGCTTGTCTCTCGAGAAGATAGACTCAAACTGGGCTATAAGGCCAACCAGTTTTTCTTTGCCAGCCGGCGAAACTGCACATGAATCAATGTCGATATCAGACAGCCCCAGATTTTGCAGCACTGCATGTAGGGGGCTACAACCACTTGTCACCTCCTGTGAGGGTGAAACATCTGGCAAAGTGGAAACATCAGTGACTAGACTCTGCTCATCATGGCACCAAGCTGAGCCAGTAGACCGTTGCATGTTCTGTTGCAAGTAGGAGCCAGTGGGGCTGAAGTTCTCCACTGCTGCACAGGGGGACACGTCAGCCAACTTCATGTTCCGTTTCAGTGTTATCGGCTTGTCAAAGGGGTTCAGCACTTTCACAGGGAGCCACCCATCACTGTTTAGATGCGCTACAGTTCTCCCAACCATAACTGACCTCGGTCCAGACCTTGACCCGGTGGGCTCTACAACGACAGCACTGCCCACTTCCCCATTATTCATTAGCTGCAGCCTGCCCCAAACAAGGTGTTCTGTCAAGGGCTCTAATGTTACAGCTCTCTTTAGCTTGACAGTTCCGATCTTATCACCAACATGCCCTGGGGCCACCACTCCTGACATTGAACTCAGCAGATTTTTATTAAGCTGTTCTTCCGCACTCGAGCTGCCCTCTAATGCCCTCTCCTAGGCGATTCCGCTCATTAGGTTACTGCCCAAAATGAGGTCCTCACTCTGCCCTGCAATCACCAACATTGGCACAACAACTTTACAGCCATATATCTCCACTGTAATGTCACACACACCTGATGGAACTGTCCTCGAACCACCACAGCCAATCAGGACGACATCCGTGGGTTGCAAGGTGGGGGTCTGCAGCACTGCATGATGTAATAGTTGGGGCATCATATTGGTGCTGAGGGTGCAGGCCATAGAGCCACTGTCAAGCATGGCTTTAACAGACACTTTGCCACCCAGGGTCACATTTTCATAGAACAGCTCATCATGCTGTTTTAGTCTGTGTGTGTTCTGAAGAATGGGTCTCCGGCCTAGCTGGCGCTCCTCACAAACAGTGTGTAATACAGATTCTAAATCATCAAAATCATCCTCTTTGGGGGCGATTTCAGGCCTAACACTTGCCCCCTCCACATGTAGGCCATCTAGTTTCCCAGCTGCTGGGTGGCTGATTCAGGCCCCCTCACTCTGACAGACACGGCCCTGGGGCATTGAGCCCGTGTGTGGTCGCCAGCATGGCAGATGAAACATAGCTGATGGGCTCTACAGTGGTGATACGTAGAGTGTTCAGTGTCACCACAAATCACGCAAGGCACAATTTTGTGTGTTTGGTTCCGGGGAACCCTTACATCATCCTTAGCAGGCAGCTTTGCTTGTCGAGGCTGTCCCTCCAGGACTTTCTCTAACAGGGCTATCACATGATCAAGACGATCAGTAGGTGGTTTTGCATGAAGGTCGGTAAGTGATGCTGAGGTAGAGGTTGGTGATGGTGTAATACACTTACTGTTGCCTGTCGCCTGCTGCACATTAGGACTCACCTCCTGTTGCTGAAAACTCAAGGCACTGACTGCACTAAACTGAGGGGTGCACTTCCGGTCCTTGCCATGCTCCAGCAATTTCTCGTGCACATCAGCAACCGTCCACTGCTGCAGGGGCTTGCACTTGAAAATAAGAGACAGTTCTGAGTCTGGACAGTGGCGGATAAACATAGCAGTCAGCTCTTTTGTCAGATATGCAAAGGACTTATTTTGTCTCTTCAGACAGTCTTCAGTCACCTCCATGGCTCTGTTCAACCTGAGCCAGTAATCAAACGGTGTTTCACCTGAGTTGGGTAGTGTTGCATAAAAATCAGCTAAAGGCATGCTTGAACAGGCAGTGTCACTGAAGTGCTGCTTTAAGATCTCAAAAATGGGCTCTGGGCCCCTCTCAAGACACACCGATGGCTTACTACGTATGCCCACCTTGACTATTTCTCGTGCCCTCCCCAGCAGTTTACTTAGCACATCATCAGCTTGTTCAGCAACTGGTACCCCTCTTCTCTTAAAAAAAGTCATCATCATTTCCTCCCATTCCTGAACACTGCATGTATCACAGCCATCCCCTCTAAAACACACAGGTTCTTTAACATCAGACTTTACAATCACATTCAATAGTGAGGGTTCAGATAACACATTATTGGCAGACCCAACAACACTGTTTCCCACTCCAGAGCCCAACCGAGATTCAAGACAAGAGGCAATGCTTTCCCCAATAGAAAACCCAATTTGCGTTGCAATCTCTGCATAAAGGTTCTCTTCCTTGTGTGGATTTTGCAAATAGGATGGAATGGCTGAATGCGGAAGTGCAGAGGTTAAGAAAGGAGGAAGTGAGGGCAGCTATGAAGGTGTATGAAGAGTGAAAAGGTGGTTGGTTGGAGATGTGTAGGAGACAGGGCAGTGGACCTTTGACTGTTTAACAGTCACAGAGAGTGAGAAGATGCCTGAGGAATGGAGAGTTTTGAAGAACAAGGGTGGTGTGCACAGATGTAGTAACTACAGAGCTTTAATGCTGATGAGCCATACCATGAAGTACACTATGGGAAAGACTGGTTGAAGCCAGGTTAAGGAGAGAGGTGGTGAATGCCCCAGATCCCCTAGGCTCTGTCTTGAGGTATCCTGAGGTAGATGCTGAACCCTGAGTTGACCCCAGTGCCTGTGAGTGTGTGAACACGCGGGTAAAAGTGCTTAGGCACAGAAAAAGCTGGTGTATGAATGCAGACAGCAGGTGCTATGTAAGCGCCAGTCTATTAAGTACAGCATTAAATGTTATGTCAGACAAGTTGAATAAAGAGGTCTTTGGCCGGGTGTCTCGTGTGCTCATCGCAGACAGTTTTGAGCGTTATTAGCAGCTAAAAATGAAGTGACAGAGCTCACACCGATGTCAATATTTATACCCGTAACCGTAGTGAGATTTGTTTGTTATAGGACGTGTACAGTTTACTCTCTTATTGTGGCTTCGAGCTTAATCGGGTTTCTACTTTCTGAGTTTTTGTTTCTTCTTCTTGTCTGCAGGAAAATGGCACCTGGGCCTGAACTGTGAGAGCCGTGACGATCACTGCCACCACCCTAACAACCACGGCTTCAATTATTTCTTCGGTATCCCTCTGACTAACCTGAGGGACTGCCAGCCTGGACATGGCACCATTTTCCAGTTCCATAAATATTTGCCATACAGAACAATGGGCATCGTTTTGCTCACTACAGTTGTGCTGCACTACAGCGGGGTCATCGGCAGAAGGTCGATCCTGAGCTTGATGTTTCTGTTGCTTTTGGTCACTGGTTTGCTAGTAGCGTTCATCATGGTTGTCCCATACTTAAACTGTGTTCTCCTGAGGGACCACAGCATTGTGGAGCAGCCATATAAGTCTGAAAACATGACACAGAGGATGGTCCACGAGGCAGTGGACTTCATAGAGCGGTACGTGAAGCTTTCCTGATTCACCTGGATCTGAAAACTCTCTTGTTGCAATGTTTCATATTCATTGTTTGTTTCTGCAGAAATTCAAACAGGCCTTTCCTGCTCCTTTTCTCTTTCCTCCAAGTCCACACAGCCATCTTTGCTTCAGCAGCTTTCAGAGGAACGAGCCGCCACGGTATCTACGGGGACGCTGTGCAGGAGGTGGACTGGAGTGTGGGTAGGTCATTCTGTCTGTTTAAAGGAAAAGCTGCTTTTCTATGTCTGTCAGTTCTTTCAAATCCAGTAAAAAAAAGCCCAGAAGCTTCCGACCTCTCCTCTTTGCCCAGTTCAGTCAAATGACACTAAGAAAGAAAGAACCTTCAGGAATAATCGTTAAAGTGGGAACAGAAGATAAGTGTGTAGTCATAGCAATTACATCTTGTCACGATCTTATCATGTTAGGAGGGTAGGCTCTGTGAAACCCCCCCAGCTTCACCTGCTGCTGCAGAGGAGAGAAGAACCAGTAAGTGAGGCGAGATGGAAGATGTGAGGAGATCCACTTAAAACCTTGTGGATGGAGAACTGATCTCACTGTGCTTTGTAGTGTTTATCATGACCTGACCTTAGTATACTCCATGTCAGGGAGAAGCCCTAATCAGACAAATCGCTATGAGTCTCACGTGGCGACAGTGGGAAGAAAAACACCTTTTTAAAAGAAAACCTCCAGCAGAGCCAGGCTCAGGAAGCTCAACCATCTGAGCCGACTAGATTGGGGTAAGGATTACTAAAAATTAAATGCAATACTGGTGTATAGAGGAGTATAAATATGAGTGAAGAACTGCATCATCATCAACAACTATTACAGCATAACTACTGCATTGACAGGGACTCGAAAGAGAGAGCAGATTTCTCCTGTTTTGGCTTCCCTTCATTGGCTTCCTGTTAAATCCAGAATTCAAAATCCTGCTCCTCACATACAAGGTCTTAAATAATCAGGCCCCATCTTATCTTAATGACCTTGTAGTACCATATCACCCTATTAGAGCACTTCGGTCTCGCTCTGCAGGCCTACTTGTTGTTCCTAGAGTATTTAAAAGTAGAATGGGAGGCAGAGCCTTCAGTTTTCAGGCCCCTCTTCTGTGGAACCAGCTTCCAGTTTGGATTCAGGAGACAGTCACTATCTCTACTTTTAAGATTAGGCTTCAAACTTTCCTTTTTGCTAAAGCATATAGTTAGGGCTGGACCAGGTGACCCTGAATCCTCCCTTAGTGATGCTGCAACAGGTGTAGGCTGCCGGGGATTCCCATGATGCTCTGGGAGTTTCTTCTTCACTCACTATGTGTTAATAGGTCTCTCTGTCATTACAATTATAATAGTCATTACTTCTCCGTCAGCACTCTCAAAGCCAACAGTTTTTCTCTATATTAGGGTCTAAAAATAAAGCCCCTTGAAGTGACAGTTGTTTTGATTTGGCGATGTATAAATAAAGTTGAACTGAACTGTTTTTGGCGACTGAAAAAAGTTAATGTCCAGTAGTAATGATGGACATGATCAATACAATCCCTGTGTCAAGGCTGATGGGCACGCTGGACTCAGGAGATCAAAGTTCAGTGTGTTTGTTTACAGTGAAAGTATATTTGCACAAAGACACAATGCAAATAGTGGAATAGTGGTCCAGGGGTCCGGGGGGAAGAGAACCCACGTAAAACCGTCCACCTCAGGGTTCGACCCACCACACACCAAGGAGGGGAATCCAGGGAAATGTACAGAAGAAACACACTTAGTGTTCGAGGATGTCGGAGGCACCACAAACACAGAAGGTTTAACTCATTGTGTTGTTGAACGGTCCAGTGAAGAGTGGCCTTGATGAGATGAGGACACAAACACATGTGCACAGATAGAGGAGAGAGGCACAGAAAGAAAGCAGAGCAGCCAGCGAGCACTGATGCCTACTTTGACCAATCTAATATAGAAGATGTATTTTTCCTCCTTCTTTAAGCTGCTCCGTTTAGGGGTCACCACAGTTCATCTGCATCCATCCCGCTTGACATCATTGACGACAAACACGAACCTCCTCTGAGGTCTTCCTCTTTTCCTCCTGCCCGGCAGCTTTAACACATGTGTTGTTTTACAGTTTCTCTTTCTCGTTCTGTTATTCATACTCAAACGGAAAAATGTTTCCAAATAATTACAGACTGGAGTTTGCACTGTGTGTATTCTCAGGTCAGCTCATGGAGACGCTGGACAGACTCAGCTTGAGAGGAAAAACTCTTGTTTACTTGACTTCAGATCAAGGGGCTCATCTGGAGGAAATCTCTGCCAGAGGCGATGTCCACGGGGGATCGAACGGAATATATAAAGGTACACCGAGAAGAAAAACGGAAAACTGTTCTTGGTTGTAATGCTTAAAGCTGAAGACCTTTCTGCCTGTATACATCAGCAGGATTTTAACCATTTAGTTAATAGTTATAATACATTTTATTTGTGGGTGCCTTTGAAAAAAGCAAAGGTCACGTTACAAAGCATAAAAATAAATAGCGAAAGGATAGAAAACAATTAGAGTCAGTGCTTGAAGAGAGTAAGCCAGTTTGGAATAAGGGAAGATATTCCTGATATCAAGAGGAAGTTCATTCCAGAGCCGGAGAACAGATGAGCTCTGCTCTGTGGTGAGACGGCCAGAGGGAACAACAAGGTGAGCGATGAACAAAGACCTAAGAAAGGAGGAGCACAGGTAGGGAGGGACCAGGTTGAAGCAATATTTAGCAAGTGACTATAATCTACGGGCAGCCAGTGAAGCTGTTGAAGAACAGGCTCTCTGGAGGGCATGTAAAGCTGGGCAAACGCCGTGCTGATGCTTCTAACCCCTGGATTGACTCGCAGGGGTTAGAAGTTGGTAGGTCACGATGCAGGTCTCACACTATACAGCCCGATGCTCTGATGTGACCTGAGTGCTCACACTGTGCGTCCGTAACATGAAGCTTATAACAGAAAATCTCTCGCTCTCCGTCTTTCACTCACACAGACACACACACACCATCAACTTTGCTAAATTGCTAATAAAAAGCATTGATCAGCTGTGATTGAGCAGCAGTGTAGATCCAACTATTTTCACGGTTGTTGTGGTCGTGATAATTTTGTGAGGCCACATCGAAAAGGCTCGGAGGAGCCAGAGTTCTACAAGTTGTGCCTCCATCGCTTGTGTCCAGATCACAGGGTGCACCGCTGCTCCGTCTTTTCACTTCCATCTCTGTGTTTGTGCGTGCGCAGTGTGAGAGGCTGCGGTGACGCCCTCACGACGGCCGACAGGATTTCAAACAGGTTGGATTTTCTTACAACCAAACGACTGATGATCGGGAGCTGGTCGTGAGGTGATTAATCAATCAATCAAGGCCGGTTACTGATCTAATGAGGGGGCAGCCACATTGTGAATGTGGAGTTTCTGGACTTGACAACCAGGGTGGTGCAGATGGCTAAATGTGTTGAAGAGTTAACTTTGCTGAGTGTGTTTATGTCATTTCACTGCTACAATATTTTACATTTTCTTCCCGGTGACAGCTAAAGAAGTAGATTATGTAAACAGAATATAATAGAGTAGTGTTTCGAGTCTTACTGAGCACTAAAGGTGCTTTACAATATATTACAATACGTACCAGTTATAAGCATTTACATTTAAAAGACTGGCTGTGTTAGAAAATGACCTGCAAGCAAACAGAGAAACAAAGAAATATTTAAGTGGTTTAAATTGAGTTGCTTTTAGAGTCAGTGCACTGGAATAAACTGCAAGCACGCAGGACTCAGATCATTGCCTCTGAGCTTCGTTCGGTTTCCTTCAGGAAAATTCACAAGTAATTATGAGACAATGAAGCTCTGCTGTTGGATGCGCCGAAAGCTCCATATCAAAAAATGTTAGCAATATTATTCTTCATTTGATTCACATTCACTAGTTTGCAGTGAGCAGACCCGTGTCAGGGATTCTGTTGGGACTCAGCAGGTTTGATTCAAAGAGCAGCTTTTTGTAAGGCAGCCACTCGCTGCCCTTTCATCTCTGCAGGAGGCGAGTCTTAAGAAGCCAGTTGTGCCTTTAGTTACTAACCCAGCACTGTTTTCACACTGCACATGCTGAGGTAATGCTTAATGTATAGTACTGCATTAAGCTATGCCAGCATAGCGCTCAACAGGAATGCAGTTACACAGACCACTACAACTGTAATACATTTGATTGGTATGTGCTGTAAACACAATATATTGATTTCCACTGGGATTTCAACTTAATGAAGGAAAACGTAATAGCCTGGAGTGTAAGTCTAGCTCATGTTGGTAAAATAGGTGGTTCTGTGCCGTTATGCTCTCTTGTGTTTCAAATGTTGTTTAAGATTTATAAGCTCCAAGTTCAACATGATCAGCTCATTTGTAATCGTGATGCAGAGCACCGCAGACACACCGGCAGAGCAAATGTAGACAATGACAGTACCACCTGTGCAGACGGCTCAGTGGGGATTTGGTGCAGTGCTATCATTTAGGCTTAATTGGTAGCCGGATGAGAATTATTTCCCTGACTTCTTGTTCTTTTTTTTTTCTTTTACCGAGCAGCAGGGAAGTCCACGAATTGGGAGGGAGGAATCAGGGTCCCTGGAATTTTACGTTGGCCTGGGAAAATCCCTGGTGGCAGACAGATAGATGAGCCCACCAGCAACATGGACCTGTTTCCTACTGTGGTGCAGCTGAGTGGAGCTTCAGTCCCAGAGGACAGGTGAGGCTGCACAGCGGTGAGACTGTGCTCCTTCCTTATGTCAGCCTGAAATCTAGGTCACATTTAAAGAAAGGAGAGGCCGTGAGAGCGATTCACAGTGAGGGGAATCCTGGATGTGAGCAGAGGGAACATGTTTTCTAATGAAGAGTGGGGTGTTAAGGTAATCCAGAGGCTTTTTGCAGCCACCATTGTAATTCATGTTCACTTTCTTTCTGCAGGGAAATAGATGGTCATGACCTCATGGATTTGCTACAGGGGAGAGCTGGACGTTCCAAGCATGAATTTCTCTTTCACTACTGTAATGCCAACTTGAACGCTGTCAGATGGCATCCCCAAAACAGTAAGTGTGCAACAGAGAAAGATGAAGCCGTATTGATAACCTCTACCGTTTGTTGACAAGTGCAAACACACTTTGCACCAGGTCAGGCAGCATTTTTAACCTAACCTGCAGGGTCAGGTTCAGTCTGTCCAAGTGACACAGCATGTCGACCAAAAAGACCAGATCCATAATCCACTTGAGGTCCGAGAGCTCGAGATAGTCCTCCTCTACCATTAACAGTTTCATGGGCGACCGTGGCTCAGGGGGTTGGGAAGTGTATCTGTAACCGGAAGGTCGCTGGTTCGATCCCCGGGCTCTCTGTCCTGGTCGTTGTGTCCTTGGGCAAGACACTTTACCCTACTGGTGTTGGCCAGAGGGGCCATTGGCGCGATATGGCAGCCTCGCTTCTGTCAGTCTGTCCCAGGGCAGCTGTGGCTACACCTGTAGCTGCCTCCACCAGTGTGTGAATGAATAGTGGAGTTGTAAAGCGCTTTGGGTGCCTTGAAAAGCGCTATATAAATCCAATCCATTATTAATATTATTATTATGGCATCCAAAAGCTCAAAGAAGCGAGAGAGTGCCTGGGTTTATCACAGCCACCTCACAGTGCAGTGCAGCAGCAGGTCACCTGGAAGCCTCGGGTCCAGCTCAGCGATGAGATTCTTGAATTGCATGTGTGTGGATGCAGTTGATGATTTCCATCATAGGCTTCATGATGTTGTCTAAATTCAGTGATTTAGACGCGAGTTGCTCCCTGTGGATGATGCAGTGGAACCAAACGTGAAACATGGGGAGGGCACAGAAACAGAAACTCCAAGCTTTGTTTGCAATAATCAAGTATAAATCAAACACAAAACACAGGGTCACACCCATCATGACACTCGCACCTACTGGGAAACCTTGTGGTATTTCCATCTCATGCACATTTGCATTTGATGAAAATACAGTGTTAAACTCAAACGAAGCGAACACGCAGATTGAAAAAAACCACAAACTTCAATATAAGAGCTGCATGAAACCAGGCAAAGAGCTGCATGCGGCTCAGGAGCCGCGGGTTGGCCACTTCTGAAATGGATTAATAAACTACTAAAATGTAACATACCAAACTAAAGGACAAAGATCACTTTGTACCAGACAGATACAAACTCTGGTATTTGAGGCCATATTCCTGGTGCTATTTGAAGTCAACATACAAAGATGAAAGAGAAGAGAACAATCATCCAAAGCAGACTTAAATATTTGTAACAGTCCCCTGGCCTGAATATCAGCTGAAGAGATCTGCAGGAGTGGCAGCTTAATATAATTAACTGCCACCAAAAGTGTTTACAGGCTGCAGCGTGAATGACTTGGTGTCCACACTTTCACAGATTCCACAGTTACTTATGTAGTTTTTCCAAGTTAATGAACTCCATTCTGTATTTTATTAACAGCAATGGTCTCATTTGAAAACCTGAGCATGCTGCTGCATTTCTATTTATGGTCACTTTTAAAGACAGCAGTTTGGCCAAAGTGCCCGACCACTGCTGATCTGTATCACACTGAAACATATACTATATTACTACACATTATAGAGTTTATGGATAATAAGTATACCATGGCTCCATACTCGTGTTTGGAGTTAAAATTTAAAAAGCAAAAGCATGAAACCAGCAGGTGATGTGAGCCGTCACATGGACCAAATGATACAAGTGCATGGATGAAAACAACTTCAGACGTTTCCTGCAGATTTCTCACACTCAGCTCAGGCTGAGGCCGTCCGAGCTTCTAGAAGGCTAATAAGCCTTCTGCAGGAAATGTTTGACCAGAGCTTTCAACAAATGAGGAAACTGACCAACTACAATCCCAGGTGTATTGTAGCAACTGCTCATTTAGCTGAACTAGATCCAGGGGCAGCACCGTGGTGCAGTTGTTAGTAGTGCTGTGCGATATGACAAAAATATCAGACATTTATCGTCCTGACAACGATATAAATCACAAAAATGTAACATTTTCTGTAAATTCTGTGAATCTCGGGCAGCTCGACTTGCGTTTAGGGTTTCCAGCTGCGCGTCATGTAGCTGGAGTCGAGTGTTTTAACCGATGCATGAAACGATACATTTTTAGACATAAGTTGTAACGGCGCCGTTTTCTCTCAAAGTTTGAGTCTAAGCTTTATTTTTTAGCACCTGACGGCTCTTTTTTTGCTTCACATCCGTAAACTCTCTGCATGCTCTTTCACGTGATTCAGTTTATTTTGAAAACACTCAAAAGGACCTTGAGCTTTATTGTGAAAGGTTTATGTGGAAAACAAACAAGCGGACAGCGGAGCCACGATGAAAAACAATGAAAAATATTGCTGTAAACAGTTTATTTTGCGACACCACGAAACAAACGACAGCGTAAAATGAAACGATAGATGCTTTTATATCGTCATCGATATATATGGTTATATCGAACAGCTAGTTGTTAGCACTGTGTGCAGAGTGTGAGGTTAACTGATTATTCTAAATTGTGAATAGGTGTGATTGTGAGTGTGAACGGCTGTCTGCCTGTAAGTGTTAGCTCTGCGACCGAGTGGCGGCCTGTGCAGGGTGTAATTTTGTAATGTACCATATCAGGTCATGAAAAAAGGCAAATGGAAAATGTGTTTCTCTTTAATATTATTTGACAAAACATACATTACACACTTTACAAAAGGTTGATTCTGTTCATCAACCTTTTGATAACATGTGGCTGCTGCAGAGATCCAGTAGGCTGGTCATCTACAGTTAGGTCCATAACTTGTTGGACATCATTTTTTTGTAGTTCCCTTTCAGTCGATTCACTCGGTACAACACATAAGTATGGGATATCACGCCCTCGCGTGTCCTGGCTGAAGAAACCTTTATTCACGCCTTTACGGCAGATGACGTGTGATGACACGCGCACGGCCCCGCCCGCACATATAGCCGCTGTCATCACAGTCATCCCTCAGTTCTTACGCTCTTCACCTCGCTGAGAACACCTCTGCTGAGTTGGGCTAGCTAGCTGCTGCTAGTTAGCTCCGTTGTCTGCCAACTTGAACTTAGCTTAACTGCCCCTGTTGGTGTTAGCCTCCACCGCCCAGCTGGTGCGTAGGCTGCCCGCGGAGCGCTATTTTCAAGTTTTTCTTGTGCAGCGTTTCGCTTTGCGTTTTGGAATGGACTCCAAACCGAAGCGAGCAAAGCAGAAATCTTCTGTTCGCCCCTGTCCTCAGGGATGCGGTTTCTCTTTGCACGACAGCGACCAGCACGATGCCTGCCCTGTCTGCCTGGGGATCGTCCACGCTAGGAGAGCGTTGACGGAGCCCGAAGCTTGTGCGTTTTGTCGCCAGCTCCGGCGCTCGACCCTGGAAAGACGGGTGACGTTTGTGGAAAGAGTGCTGGGACGCTCGGCTGTCGCACGGCATGACCCTCTTCTTTCCGAGTCTGGAGCCCCGGCTTCGTCCGAGTCCGAAGACGAGGATTTTCCGGTCGATGTCCCCGCGATTAGCTGGGCTGACCACATGGAATACGTTGACGGGTTAGCCGATGACGGGCCGGAACCATGCAGGGGCGCTGACGGGCTTCAGCCTGGGTTGAAGCCCGCCAGCGCTCCCCAGGAAGACGATGACGTGCTGGACATCGGCCTGGACATCCATGGTTTGTCGGAGGATGAGCAGGAGAGCTCATTGTCGGCCCAATGTGCCGCCGCTGCTGCGCCGGTCGGCCACGATGACACCTCTCTTTTCTCCCTGTTTCGCCGTGCTGCTGAGAAGCTGCAGGTGGACTGGCCCTCTCCTCCACCAGCTCGGAAGCCGTCGCGGTTCGCGGGGTTTTTCCTCCCACCGGAGCCCGCAACGGCCAAAAACTGCCTTCCCATGTTCCCAGACTTTCTCTGCGAGCTAACAGCGTCATGGGACAAACCTCTGTCTACCCGCGTCACTGTGCCCGGCTATGGACAGTACATGGAATTGGACGGCGCCGAGGGAGCTGGCTTAGCTAACCCACCCCCTATGGAGCCGTCTCTGGCTGCTTATCTGGCCCCGTCCCATAACCATGGTGTCGGTGGCCCCGCAACTCTGCCGTCCAAGCACTGCAGATTCTCGGCCTCGCAGCTGGAGAAGATTTATCGGGCTCAGGCCGGCACTGCTCGCGCCATGAGCTCCGTCACCATGCTCCAGACGTACCAGGCTATGTGCCTGGCGGAGCTTGGATCGCTGGTTCCTGATGACAGCCCGCTGTCACCTCTTCTTAACGAGGTCAGAGTCACCACGGATTACATCCTCCGTGCGTCTCGCTGTGCAGCGCTCTCCCTGGGCAGAGGGATGGCTTCGACAGTAGTGGCTCAGAGGCACCTGTGGCTGACCCTCTCCGACGTCCCGGATAGGGACAGAGCTGTGTATCTGGACGCACCAGTGTCTGCGGCTGGGTTATTCGGACATTCACTTGAAGCCATTCAGGCTAGATTCGATCTGAGGAAGAAGCAGACGGAAGCTCTGCGCGACATCATCCCCAGACGCCAGCCCCAGCCCAAGCCCACAGCTAGCTCTCACAGGCCCGCCGCTCCTCTGACGGCTGGCAAGAGACCGGCGCCCACTGCTGGAGTGGGTGTGCCGCCGGCGAGAGCACGTCCTCCGGCCCGAGCTCCACGCCAGTCGGCCTGGGGCAAAGGCCCACCCTCGGGCCCCCGACGGGACCCGACGCCCAGGAGGAAGAAGCCTCAGCCCTCCTAGCCGTGGTTTCGAGTGGAGAAGGGGTCCAGCAGCAGGGAGACGCTGTTTTTACCCCTCTGTTGCCGCACAAGAGGTGCCGCTTAAGTTCTGTTCAGGTTGTCAGCCCCAGAAGGCGCTGCACTTTCCTATCGCTGTCTCCCAAGCACAAAACCCCTGCACACACATTGCCTCAGGTAACTCCCGGTTCAGGTGTGTTAAATGTTCAAGCGACCACATCGAGTGTTCCCGCTGTTTTTCGTTGTTGTGCCCCAGAAAAGGTGCATCCAACAAAATGTATGAATGTACATGTTTCCATGTTACAATCAATAAA